CTAGATTTATAGGTTTCTAACATCTAAGAAATTGAGTTTAATTAATCTAAACTTTAATTTAAATTCTATTCTAATTATATATTCTATTTAATTCTCAAATTCCAAATATCCCTTCTAAAGCCTCAGTTTTTTATAGTTAGAGATTTTTGAACAAGAAGAGTGTTGAAAATTTCCAGAGCGTTGCATTTTTTGAAGCCTTTAAACACGCAAAATGTTGCGTTTTTGTAATCACGGTTTATTTTCACGCATTTGTTAATTCCGAAAAACCACGCACTTTATACCGACGCGATGAAAGGCAGATTCTCGCGTATGGGTGACCATTTTTTAACTCTTCACCGGTCGCCATTGCGGCGAACGATGCACGTGTGCTCATGAGCCCGATACACGTATGTCACGCGTTATATCGACCCGCGAGCGCGATAAATGTAATTTCGAGTAAGCCACGGCGGGTAACAACGCGCGTTGTACAGACCTTTTTTCCCGGACAGAGACCGAATATTACGGATATTGGTCGGAGCATGGAAACACGTACTACGATAAAACATATTTCCGCAGATCTCTAATTAGAAATAGTGTTACATTAACCATGTAAGAGAAATATTTTTTCCACACCTGTGCAATTGAGAGCTAACTTTTCGGCTTGTATTGTAACTATTATTATATTACGTCTTTATTTCTTATTATTTTTATTTACTATATTATCTATTATTTAATATTTTGATTTAATATTAAATAGAATCAGAATGAAACAATATGATATATAAGATGATATATTTATATGCCATGCAACCAGGATTGATTCCTAAGCGTTCCAAAAAAAGATCTTTAAATTTATATTTAATTTTTAATTTTAGTTCGAAATTTAACTTTTAAAAATTCTAGTTGGCATCTAAATGCGTTTCGATTGAAGTACAACCCCGCGGGAATTAAGGAACTGGACAGATCAATAGAATTAAAAAATTCTTATTTATTTTATTTTACTTTAACTCACAAATTAATTATTAATTTTATATGTTAAAAGGCTAAAAGCGTGAGCGCTTTGCGCAATGTCAAATTCATGTATTAGATATATTAACTTTTGACTTAGCTCATTCCTCCTCCAATTTCTCCTTAAGTGTGAACTGAAAACTCTATTAGACGCGTTTTCATCTTTTGGTTCGCATTCCACACTCGAGTCACGTCGTATCCGCGATGTAAAACGCGACGTACACAAACTGCGTCTGGCTTTAACTGCGCGAGATCATCTGGCGGTAAGAGGAGTGCATCTTAAATATTAAATGGTCCATCGATGGTACGCGACTAAACACACAACAGAAAAGGAGAGAGTGAGAAAGAGAGGGAGCGGAAGGGGGGAGGGGGAAGAGAGAGAAGTTCGAGATTGGTTTGGACGGTATCTCAAAGTACAAAGGATTATTCTTTTACCGAGTCGGATAACTCTGTCTCCTCGTGTCTTTCCTTTTGCGTTTTGCCCCTCCTTTTTTCTCGCAAGAAACCCGCTTTTACGAGGACGATTTATACATTTATGGAATTTTTGAGTGGCTTTCCGCGACACAGATTCCGTCTACAATGTAGGAAGCATACGAGAGGCTAGGTTATTCCTCCCGATATATGAGGAGGAAGTAGTATAGAAAATGAGAGAGAGAAATTTTATTTATATTTTTTTATTTATCTTCGTTTTTTATATAATATTATATTGTGAAAAATTCTAGAAAAGTACAAAAATAAAACAAATATTTATCTTACTATTGCGTGTTATCATTGCGTGCTCCGGATTTTATATTGATAATAAAAATTTCATAAAAACATGATTAAGCGTTCGATACTTCTCTAATATTCCTTATACATACATTTCTTATATATATAGTATCTTATGTCTAAAATAATATTCTCAACTTTCCATATTATTTCAAAATTATAAAATAATAAAATAAAAAAATTTGGTACTCACTGAACGATGCCTCATAGCGGTAGTATAATGTACGTTGATCTGTAATCTCGCAAGAAACCCGCTTTTACGAGGACGATTTATACATTTATGGAATTTTTGAGTGGCTTTCCGCGACACAGATTCCGTCTACAATGTAGGAAGCATACGAGAGGCTAGGTTATTCCTCCCGATATATGAGGAGGAAGTAGTATAGAAAATGAGAGAGAGAAATTTTATTTATATTTTTTTATTTATCTTCGTTTTTTATATAATATTATATATTAAAAAATGTCATTAATATTATATATTGATATATAATATTTTAAAACTCTGTGAATACGATATTGAGCAAAAGTTTCAAATTATAGTAAGCTATTTTGAGCTCTGACTTTAACCAATTATTTCTTTTCGTTGTGAAAAATTCTAGAAAAGTGCCATAGTATTTGCATTTTATGGCACAAAAATAAAACAAATATTTATCTTACTATTGTGTGTTATCATTGCGTGCTCCGGATTTTATATTGATAATAAAAATTTCATAAAAACATGATTAAGCGTTCGATACTTCTCTAATATTCCTTATACATACATTTCTTATATATATAGTATCTTATGTCTAAAATAATATTCTCAACTTTCCATATTATTTCAAAATTATAAAATAATAAAATAAAAAAATTTGGTACTCACTGAACGATGCCTAATAGCGGTAGTATAATGTACGTTGATCTGTAAAAGATAAATATATATATGTATAAATTAAAACAATGTCCAAAATTATCAATATTTCGAAATAATTATATTGAGCATCATTAAATTTATTTAGGCTAACCAAATATTTCATAAAAATATTACATAATTTAACACTAATTAAAAATATTTCTTAGCAAACACAAATTTTTATAAATATAATAAAATATAATAAAATAATAAAGATCCAATATATATAATCTAATGTATGCAATTATAAATCTCTTAAAAACAATGCTTAAATTGTATTTATTATGTATATATACGCGTGTCTAAATATAAAACATACTATCTTAAACTGAATCAGTGAAAATATCACTGATTAAAACAGTGACACAAGATACATTGACTTTTCTCATTTAGGAGGATATTGTACTTCAAATATTATAACATTATTTGTGAATTATTTATATACATACAAATATATGTTTAAAATTTCCAAATAATATTTTTTTAAAAGATACAGTTAAAGAAGATCTTTTAAATATACTTTCAATAAATAAAAATCTCATCAGTGAATTAATTTAATACATTAATTAGAACGTCACTCTCTTTATAATTGAGAATTAAAAAAAAGTATAAATAATGTGCATTTACTTTTTATGCAAATTATATTGATCGCTTTAATTACAATATATCAATAATATATTAAGCGCACCTTTAATAATCTGACTTTCAAGAAAATGCTTAAAATTATACCAATGTTATAATCGCGCATGTCGATAACTAAAATGTATGAAATAAATTTGTTGTAACTAAATTGAGACATAAATCACTCGTACGCGATAAGAAAGTCGATGAGAGATAAACATACAAATAAACATATTATTTCACATTTTCAGTGTGATGTGCGACGTCTAAATGGTTGAAAGTTGTGAAGAAAGTATCAGGAGATTTTGTTTTAGTTTTTATATGCGTATCGAGTTCGGGGAATCGTGGAAGCCGAGCGCTGCTCGCTCGAGCGTGCCTTTTTAGGAATTAGAGATAAGATAACGCGAGAAGGATGCGAGAAGGATGCGAGAAGAAAGTTCAGAACGCCAGATATTTGCGATTGCCAGATATACTGCGAGAATCGACGAGTCTTAAAATTTCCGAAATATCACCTTGAGAAGTCGGTTCTCAAAAATAAAACAATTAATATAATGATGCTTTTAGGCAGTTAGTTAGTTATTATGAATAACGTTCTTGTTTAAGAACATAAAGAAAGAGAGAACATCAAATTTATTACAGCACGAAAAAATCTCACCTCGAATTTCCCACAGTATAAAAGAAATAGAAAAAATTTTTATTATATATGTATATATATGTATATATGTACATTTATTAATTATTATACATATTTAATATTTTAAGTATTTTTGAAAATAAAATAGTACGTTTTATATGCGTTTATATTTTATATTATTTATAACGACGTAAAGAAATGGAAATCAGTAAACAGTTAATTTCACAAGTAATTTATAAGTTAAATAAATTACACATGTTTTTTACCTCATGATTGCTGTGTCGTTGCCCGACATTTTCTCAGCCTTTTCCTCCTCTTTTATACATATATCTTTTGCTGCTCTTGTATGGCATTGGCACTCGCAAAATATTCCCGGAAATACGATTAATTACGATCGCGCGACAATTTGCACGACACTCCCGATGATAATTATATGTATGCGCGACACGCACTTTAATATATCGCGGAAGAAAGACGCGGAAACTATGATCGTACGATGATTCTATAACTCCCGTCCTCGTCCGCTTCGATTCCTCCTTGAAATGAGATAAAGCGCACGAAATAACTCAATCTAACCCTAACTTCACCTACCGCGATAAACGGTCGTCGCCTACGTTTACAAGTCGTTAAACACGAAAAATAATTAATCACGCGGGCTAATATAATCCCTACTTATAATAATTATACAAAATACTCACGTTTTCCGGTATCTCCGATCGCGTTTCGAAGCGTAATACGACACGTAAAACATGACTTACGTCGGTGAATCTCCGCGCGCGAATGACAACAAAACAAGGCTGGTAAACAACAGTGAGCTATGCCGCAAAAAAACGAACACCAAATATCGAGCGACAGTTACTACGCTTTATTGATATTTAACGCACACGCTACAAAATAATATATGCTGAATATTCTATTCCCCCTGATTTTCAAATTAATTATATTGTAATATAATAAACGGTTAATGTATCGCGATCTCTCTCGCTCTCTCTCTCTTCCGTTACTGAATTCACGATTCTGCGATTCATGTATTACTACGCCTGTTCAAACTGAGTTTCAAAATTATAAAATAATAAAATAAAAAAATTTGGTACTCACTGAACGATGCCTAATAGCGGTAGTATAATGTACGTTGATCTGTAAAAGATAAATATATATATGTATAAATTAAAACAATGTCCAAAATTATCAATATTTCGAAATAATTATATTGAGCATCATTAAATTTATTTAGGCTAACCAAATATTTCATAAAAATATTACATAATTTAACACTAATTAAAAATATTTCTTAGCAAACACAAATTTTTATAAATATAATAAAATATAATAAAATAATAAAGATCCAATATATATAATCTAATGTATGCAATTATAAATCTCTTAAAAACAATGCTTAAATTGTATTTATTATGTATATATACGCGTGTCTAAATATAAAACATACTATCTTAAACTGAATCAGTGAAAATATCACTGATTAAAACAGTGACACAAGATACATTGACTTTTCTCATTTAGGAGGATATTGTACTTCAAATATTATAACATTATTTGTGAATTATTTATATAGATATAAACATATTTTTAAAATTTTCAAATAATATTTTTTTAGCAGATATAGTTAGAGAAGATGTTTTATATATACTTTAAATGAATAGAAATCTCATCAATGAATTAATTTAATATACATTAATTAGAACGTCATTCTCTTTATAGCTGAAAATTAAAAAAAATATAAATAATGTGCATTTACTTTTTATGCAAATTATATTGATTGCTTTAATTGCAATATATCAATAATATATTAAGCGCATCTTCAATAAACTGACCTTCAAGAAAACATCCGGAATTACATCAACGTTATAATCGCGCATATCAGTAATTAAAATATATGAAATTAATTTGTGTGTTCGAGTAACTAAATTGAGACATAAATCACTCGTACGCGATAAGAAAGTCGATGAGAAGTGGACATATAAATAAACATATTATTTCACATTTTCAGTGTGATGTGCGACGTCTAAATGGTTGAAAGTTGTGAAGAAAGTATCAGGAGATTTTGTTTTAGCTTTTATCTGCGTATCGAGTTCGGAGAATCGAGGAAGCCGAGCGTTGCTCGCTCGAGCATGCCTTTTTAGGAATTAGAGATAAGATAACGCGAGAAGGATGCGAGAAGAAAGTTCAGAACGCCAGATGTTTCGCGAGAATCGACGAGACCCAAAATTTCCAAAATATCGCTTTGAGAAATCGGCTTTTAAAAATAAAACAATTAATATAATAATACTTTTAGGCAGTTAATGTTATGAATGACGTTCTTGTTTAAGAACATAAAAATACACTTGCAAAAAAATAATTGGAAAAAGAAAGCAAGCACCAAATTTATCACAGCACGAATAAATCTCATCTCAATTTTCCACAGTATAAAAGAAATCATGAAAAAAATTTTTATTAGATATGTGTATATGTACATTAATTAATTATTATAGATATTTAATATTTTAATTATTTTTGAAAATAAAATAGTACATTTTATATGCGTTTATATTTTATATTATTTATAATGACGTAAAAAAAAGTGGAAATCAGTAAACAGTTAATTTCACAAGTAATTTATAAATTAAATAAATTATACATGTTTTTTACCTTATGATTGCTGTGTTGTTGCCCGACGTTTTCTGACCATTTTCCTCTTTTATATCTATATCTTTTACTGCTCTTGTATGGCATTGGCACTCGCGCAACATTCCCGGAAATACGATTAATTACGATCTGCACGACACTCCCGATGTTAATTATATATATGCGCGACACGCACTTTAATATATTGCAAGAGAACGACGCGAAAACTATGATCGTATGATGATTCTATAATTCCCATCCTCGTCCGTTTCATTCCTTCTTGAAATAAGATACAGCGCACGAAATAACTCAATCTAACCCTAACTTCACTTACCACAATAAACGGTCGTCGCCTTGTTACGTTTACAAGTCGTTAAACACGAAAAACAATTACTCACGCGGGCTAATATAATCCCTATTTATAATAATTATACAAAATACTCACGTTTTCCGGTATCTCCGATCGCGTTTCGAAGCGTAATACGACGACACGTAAAATATGACTTACACCGGTGAATCTCCGCGCGCGAATGACAACAAAACAAGGCTGGTAAACAACAGTGAGCTATGCCGCAAAAAAACGAACACCAAATATCGAGCGACAGTTACTACGCTTTATTGATATTTAACGCACACGCTACAAAATAATATATGCTGAATATTTTGTTCCTCCTGATTTTCAAATTAATTATATTATAATATAATAAACGGTTAATGTATCGCGATCTCTCTCGCTCTCTCTTCCGTTACTGAATTCACGATTCTGCGATTCATGTATTACTACGCCTTTTCAAACTGAGTGATCGATTAATTATTACACTTTTAAATTGACGAACAGCTCAAAGTGCGATACAAAAATATATTAATAAACATTTAATATATTATATCTTTTTGTTATTTAAATCATTCGACGATGTATATGTATATATATATATTTCTACGCGTTTTCAATTTGAAAAAGGCGAGCAAATTATATCGAATATATCACATATCGCACTTTAAGCTTTTCGGGGTAAACGTTATTAGCCAATTTTATTAAGTATAATTCTGTTTATTAGTGTGTCCGTAATCATAATTAACAGTGTTTTCGCGAATAAGTATCGAGATTGTTTTATTACGATCTTTACAAGCGATTGCTTGCATTCGAATATATCACATATCGCACTTTAAACTTTTCGGGGTAAACGTTATTAGCCAATCACTTTTGAGAACGCATAGTAATATATCAGATTGAGGTAAAGAAAGAGAGAGAGAGAGAGAGAGAAAAATATCACGATATATTAAACATTAATAATTAATATATAAAATTCAAGATAGAACAGCTTTCAGCATACATTATTTTATATAGAGCGTTAAATATTTCGTGACGACAACAAAATAATAGTAAAGTGCTGTGTTCGTTTTTTTGACGCGCTTTGTTTACGCGCCTTGTTTTGTTGGTAACATCGTTTCTTCGTCACTTGCGCGGCGAGACTCGACGAAGTATGTCGCGTTCTACGTGTCTCATATTACGCATCGAAACTCGCGATCGTACGAAGATGCCGGAATCCGGGATACGTAAAACGCGATTATTGTGTATAATTATTACAAATGGCGATTATTAGAGCCCGCGTGACTAATTATTTCTCGCGATTAACGACCAGATAAACGTAACGAGACGACGACCGTTTATCGACCGGTAAGTGAAGTTAGGGTCAGGTTGAGTTATTTCGCGCGCATTATCTTATTTCAAGCAGGAGTCGAAGCGGACGGGAACGGGAGTTATAAAATCATCGTACTCGATCATAGTTCTTGCTTTGTTCTCTCGCAATATAATAAAGTGCGTGTCGCGTACAATTATATTGGGAGTGCCGTGCAAAGTGTCGCGCGATCGTCGTATTCTCTCAATTAGTACACGAGACGATTATAATTAATCGTATTTCCGGGAGTGTTGTGAGAATACTAGTGCTAATAAAAAGCAAGAATGATGAATAGAAGAGGAGAAAGAAGGCCGAGATATCCGGCGATAACGGGACAATTCTCTCTAAGGTTAGAAATTTATATTTAATTTATTAAATATGATATATATATATATATATCTGTAATAGGCGCTATATAAATAATGTATTTTACATTATTGTACAATATATGTATAATGCATATAATATATTATATTTTATTTTCATAAATACTTAAAATATTTAATTTGTACTAATTTTAATAACTAATAAATTAACGATTTATAATAATTAATAATTATTAAAAAT